GGAATTGCACCAAAGAAGTGATTGCTGGACAAATCAACTGTCCGTATATTAATAGATGGTAGAGAAAGTGGTAGTTCTCCAAAAAGATGGTTATAGCTCAAATCAAGGATCTCAAGTTGATTCAAAGACAAGAAGAATTGAGTTTCAAGTGAACCATATAGTGAATTGTGGGAAAGGTTCAAGTAGGTGAGATGGGTGAGATTTGGAAGTGAAAAGGGAGAGATACCTCCTTTGAGACCTTTGGAAGGTAAGAGCAAACGGGTGACCCAACCATCTTGATCACAAGTGATGCCCTTCCAATGACAGCAATCAAGGGATGTCCAATTTAAAGGAGGAGAAGATAGAGTGGAGGCAAAGGATAGGAGGGAGCTGCGTTCAGTTTGTTTGCAGGCATGAATAGTTGAAGCTATAATGCAAGAGAATAAGAGGAAGAGAAGGAAGGGATGAGCCATTTGGTTATAAGCTTGCACTAACATATGTTGCTTTGTGTATGTGTCGTTGCTCACATGTATTTACATATATAAGAGCAATGATGCTTGAAAAGGATGCAAACATCAGTACAAATTGAGAAGTCGGTGAACCTGATAGAAGACCTCTTCTATAAGATTTCAAAACCTTTGGGCCACCAGGAGTGGACTTGACCGTGATATATGTGAGAAACAGAATCCTTGTTGAATTCAAACTGGAATATGTTTTGACTATTTCCTTTTATTTTTAAGGCATCTGATAATTGATACCAGCTCATCTTCCATGTTAATCACTCAAAGTCCAAGTTCAAAGTTTTTTTTCTTGTTGATGATTCTTCTAAGAACTCATCTTTGTCTTTTGAGTATCTTATCTCCACATGTTTGATTGACGTGTACGCTTTCCCTCATTGGTGTTTTCTTTCATTATGATGATAATTTTTCATGGAATTTGGAAGATATATGGTGTTATTTTTCTTGCCAGATAGATATGGCCTGAGAGTGGCAGTGCCAGTCAAGCCTGATCCAACATTATACATTGACGTCCTATTCATGTTCAAAGTCGTTTTCTTGTTGATGATTCTTCTAAGAAAATTCAAAATTGGAGGATAGTCATTCTTTCCAAGTTGTTTGCCCCACAAGAAGGCAACGTTTCTTGGTTGAGCAATAATGTTCAACCCTCTGAATGGCACAACTTAACAACTACTTGCTGAATATATTGATAGCAATAAAATGCAAATCGGATCTTATAGTTGGCTTGAAAGCGATGCAGTTATAAAGGATTCTGAATGGAAGAGTGTGCGAAGACTTGTGCAACGCATTAGTATTTTCATTGCTCCTGTGACATTGGTCAATCTATTGCCACCAATTGAGAGGAAGAACAAGTATTTCAATAAAAGAATCTGAGGTTGTATTCGCCCCCCTAGATGATTTAAAGTCAACTGAATTGCTGTCAGGGACCTACATGAGTAAATGCTTATTGGAAACGTACCAATAAAGTTATTGACTAAGTCTGGAAAAATCAAGCATCCAGATATCTCCTTCCAAGTTGTTGGATTGGATCCCAAGTGTAGTTCTACAAGGTTTGTGAAATTCATGAAAGATGGGGGGCAAAGAACCTTCTAAATTGTTGAAATCAAGGGTCACAAATTTCAACTTGGAGAGCTTCCCAAAAATAATCAGTGAGAAATCACAACAAAAAACACTACAAAGATGCACATCGGATGAATATTTTTCACTAATCTTGCTCGAGTGACATGGCCTGAGATATATGGGCATGTCTGCCACTAATCTTACTTCTAAATAATCGCTCTTAATTTGGGTTTGTTTGGGATGTGAAATTAGATGAGTTGGTGATGAACTGAAATGTGTTCTGATCACTTGTTCTTGTCTTTAAGTTACTAAAGCAAGCAGAAGCACTGAGACTGAGAGAGACAGTAATTTCTTTGTAGAATTGTGTTTGGGCCTAAATTCCATGCGCCAGCTGAATTGACTATTAGCCCACGCCAATGACAGAAGTTTGGGCTTTATTTTATTAAAACCAGAAGTCAGCCCAAATGAGTTTAGAGTCCCAAACCTTTGTGAACCAATTGCAAGGAATAAATTTACAGATTAAAGATTAATTACCAATAATGGTGATTTAATATGGACAAATCAATTTTTAATTGGTTTAAAGATTAAGCCCAGCTTTTAATCTCTCCAAAGGCTCAAAATTTGATCATCACCGTTGATCACAATTTCAGAGATTAAGTCAACAGATTCTTGGGAAAGAACCTTTCTCTATAAAAAAAAAACCCACGTGACTCTAAAGTCAAAGATTTCAACAGGGCAGAGGAAGTGATGGGGAGTTGGTAGAAGGTTTAATCGGAAAACCACTCCCCATAACCATTTAATGCCAGAAAAGGAGGACCAAGTTTCCTTCCTATACTAGTGAGGGCTTTGCATCAGAGCAAGTTGGGTTTACAAAAGATTTGCGAGAGATAAGAGAGTTGGTTGTCAGAAGATCAAAATTGATCATCATGGAAACTGACTGTTGATGGGGTTTCTTGTCAGACTAATTACTCCCCCTTTTTGTTGGTGGTAATCTTGTTATTTGGAGGAGTAAAAAGCAAAAGGTGGTGTCTAGGTCTAGTGCTGAGGCCGAGTATCGTGGGATGGCTCAAGGTGTGTCCAAGATACTATGGTTGAGAAGATTGTTGAGAGATCTTGGGTTTGGACCCCAGAAACCCATGAATTTGTATTGTGATAATAAAGTTACAATTGCAATTGCGCATAACCCTGTGCAACATAATCGTACAAAGCACGTGGAGGTTGATCGACATTTTGTTAAAGAGAAGTTGGATGCTGAAATTATTTCTTTTCCGTTTATTTCATCAGAGTATTAACTGGCAGATGTTCTTACAAAAGTTGTGTCTACTACGGTCTTTCTCAACTCGCTTGACAAGTTGGACATGCGTAACATCTTTGCTCCAACTTAAGGGGGAGTGTTAGCGAGATCCTAGCTTAATTAGAATATTTATTTCCTAGTTTATTAGGACAATATTTCTTTTCTTTTGTACATATATTGTGTAATTAGGATTTTATCTTGTTTCCTAGTTTGACCCTACTAGGGTTACATCCTTGTACTATAAATACCTACTTTTGGAGAATGAAATACAACCTGAAAAATATTCTACCCGTATTGTTTGACTTTGCTATGTTCAAATGCTGACCAAATATTTTTGTAGAGAATGAATCTGACACATGCCGTCGTGCTTCTATTCTATACCCATTCTCTGTGCAATCTGCGGGTCTTGGATAAGTTTAGCCATAGCAAAGGGAGAACTCTCTTGGGTTACAATGAAATCATGTTTCACCGTTCTTAACTGTCTCTAGGGCCCCCACTGTTGCACAAGTTTGTCTTTTGAGTATCTTATCTCCACAAGTTTGACGTGTGCTTTGCCTCATTGGTGTTTTCTTTCATTATGATGATAATTTTTCATGGAATTTGGAAGATATACGGATATGGTGTTATTTTTCTTGCCCAGATAGATATGGCCTGAGAGTGGCAGTGCCAGTCAAGCCTGATCCAACATTATACATTGACGTCCTATTCATGTTCAAAGTTGTTTTCTTGTTGATGATTCTTCTAAGAAAATTCAAAACTGGAGGATAGTCATTCTTTCCAAGTTTGCCGCTGCTTGATGGTGAAAGACGACCATGCCCCTACGCTCTCAAGTCTGCTATGATAGGCTGGCGACGTTGTTTCTTGGAAACAGCTAAGCCTTTCAATGATAACTTTTTTTTCTATGCTCAAAACTTTTTTTATTATTCACGGATCATGCATTCTTTCTGTTTCTTTTTAACTTTTTTTAGTTAAAAATCATAATTCTCAATAATCAAAGGTTGTAGGGGCAAGAAAATTTCTTAATAGCAAATAATAATAACAATTGAAATATGGAAAGTTTATTTATCTTGGTAATTCAATATTGGAAAGTTGGTAAAGTTGGACGAAATTTATCGCTGATGTTTTATGAGGTTCATATCTATTCACGATGTAGAATCGTTGATAACTTATGTAGTCAATATATTCATCAATTGGGAAAAATAAACCATTCATTTGTCTACTATTTGAGGATTCAATTGTCTACAATTATTACTTTGAATTTTTCTATTTGTAGTGGACTAACCGTTCTGTTTATTTTGTCAATTTCTCCCACTTTCTATTTTGTTTGTGTTTTTCTTTTGTTGCCCACTGCTCACTTTTGATCCCTCTGTTCCATCTTCTCGTGCGTTTATCCCTCTCTTGGGCTGCGTTCTTGCACCGCTGCTCAAACTCTTTATAGTCTGTTTCAATTATAAACTCATGAATTTTAGTAAAAGAAAAATGAAATTCTTTTAAGTCCTCGGGTTATAACAAATCCCTATTTTTATTCTTTTTGGTGCAAGAATGGTAATTCTCTATTTTATAGTGTAGTACGGTCGTATGATCACATAGTACTTAAAATGGAAAAATATCAACTTAGTCCATCCATATTATGACACTTATATGAGCTATATTACGTGTAAAAGTGAAAGCAAACGGAAAATGCAAACTAAAAAGTACAATATTAATAATATATATCTAGCCTCTAAGCCTTCTTTTCATCCTGTTGAGGGAGACTATTATCATCACATAGAGCCTATCTTGTAGATTGTCGATGAATCGAAAATACGCATATCTCCATGTCTTGTTAATAACTAAAGAACCATAGACTCCCCAAAATCCTACTATGAACCCCAACGCAGCGAAAATATAAAACCATGGAAGTCGATGATGCCCATTGCCCTCGTCTTTGTTGTTCTCATTATCTGCATCCATGCCCTTATTTGGTCTGCACTTATTTGGAAGTGGGGCACCACAAAGTTTTGGGATTCCCCTCAAAGGCAAAAGCGTCGAAGCTTTGGAACTGGGAGCTTGTTGGTATTGGTCCTTTGAGATTATTGTATGCGGCATTAAATATTTTCAAGAAATTAAGGCTCGCCAATGACGATGGGATTATTCCAGACAAGTGATTCCTGGAGAGGTCCAAAACCTCTAAATTTTTAAAGTTAGATATTTGGTCTGGAATGACGCCAGAGAAGTTGTTAGAGTTAAGATCCAACTCCTGGAGAAGTTGTAATTCGCCGATCTCAGCAGGTATATAACCACTAATGTTATTGTTATATAAGTCTATTAGTGGTGGAAAAGAAGACAATTTTTGAGGTAGAGGAAGTGGATCTCCAACATTTACGCTACTGAAGAGAGGCAATTCAAATTCATATTGGTCTTATGCTTGAGATGCAATATTCAACCTTGGTAGTCTACAAAGTTGCTTTGGAAATTCACCTGAAATTTGGTTGTCTGACAAGTCTATATAAAACAGTCTAGGAAGAGTCCCCAACCAACTTGGAATTGGCCTTGTGATTTGATTACTACCCATAAGCAATATCTCTATATTCTTGAGCTTTGATAACCATACAGGTATTTGACAAGTGAGGCCACAATAACCCAAACCGAAGAACCGAAGGTTTTGGAATCCATCAAAATCAACCATGTCATCATCAAATAGCATTCCCCTACCTTCAAAGGCACCAGTAAGAATGAGTACGTGAAGACTTTTGCAACTCATCAATATCTTCATTGCCCCCCTGTGAGGTTGGTGAATCGGTTCAAACCAAGCGAGAGGAAGGACAAGGATTTCAATGAGAGAATCTCAGCTTCTATTTGTCCCTCTAGATGATTTCTACCCAATGCAATGGCTTTTAGGGACTTACATGAGTAAAGGCTTACTGAAACCGTACCAGTGAAGTTATTGTTCCTTAGATCCAGTTTAGTAAGTTGATTAAGTCTGGAGAAATCAAGAATGGAGATATCTCCTTCCAAGTTGTTGGATCCCAAACGCAGTTCCACAAGGTTTGTGCAATTCATCAAAGATGGGGGCAAAGAACCTTCTAAATTGTTGAAATCAAGGGTCACCAATTTCAACTTGGAGAGCTTCCCTAAATTGGGGGGAAGCTCGCCGCCAAAATGATTAAAGTAGAGGTCAAGGATTGCAAGGTTGGTGAGGTTGGCAATTCTATCACTAATGGCTCCATGTAGTGAATTGCAAGGTAACGAAATTTCTTCAAGTTTGGTAGCATTATAGATATCTTCTGGAAGTAATCCAGAGAGGTTGTTGTGACTGGCATGAAAAACCTGCAGTTTGGAACACTTCCCTAGCCCAGGAGCAAGGTTGCCATTGAATACATTGGAAGAAAAATCCAATAGCCTAAGGGAGGGAGAAGAATGGAGACAAATAGAGGACGGAACATACCCAGTAAAGGTATTGTTGCTGACATTGAAACTTGTCAAGTTGCTAGCTTGTTGGAAGAATGAAGATGGAATTGCACCAAAGAAGTGAGTAAGTCTGGAAAAATCAACAATAGTTTCCAGTAATGAATGCAAATTACTGATATTGAAACCCCTCTATACGTCGAAGATATATTTTCCAGTAATGAAACCAAAGAGAGGACCCCTTTGGGTATTAAGAGGGGGCCACCAGGAGAGGACTTGACCAACTTAATTTGAGGGCTTCACAAAGTACTCAAAGTTGTTGCCGTGATATATAGTGATAATTTTTCATGGAAATTTGGAAGATATATGTTGTTATTTTTCACTAATTAACCTTGCTTGAGAGTGACATGGCCTGAGATATATGGGCATGTCTGCCACTAATCTTGCTTCTAAATAATCTCTCTTAATCTGTATCAATTGCCTTGTGGGTTTTGTTTTTGTATTGTTGAATGGGATGAATGAACTAATGACGAAGTGAATTGGGTTGTATATTCACCATTGTTGCTGTATTTAAGTTACTAAGCAAAGCACAAGCACAAGCACTCAGCGAAAATATTGATAGCAATAATGTTCAACCCTCTGAGTGGGCACAACTTAACAACTACTCGCTAAATATATTGATAGCAATAATGTTCAACCCTCTGAGTGGGCACAACTTAACAACTACTCGCTAAATATATTGATAGCAATAAAACGAGCCCCAACCAGGACCAAAGATGGAGGGGGTGGATGTGTTTGTCAATTTCTCCCACTTTCTATTTTGTTTGTGTTTTTCTTTTGTTACCCACTATTCTATAATAATAACGTTTCTTGGTAGCAATAAAATGAGCCCCGACCACTTGCATCTAATTTTTTTAATTTTCTTATAGTTAGCTTGAAAGCGATGCGGTTATAAAGGATTCTGACAGGAAGAGCGTGCGAAGACTCTTGTGCAACGCATTAGTATTTTCATTGCTCCTGTGACATTGCCAAACCAATTGAGAGGAAGGACCTACCAGTAAAGTTATTGACTAAGTCTGGACTAATGAAACCCCTCTACACGTCGAAGATATATTTCCACTAATGAAAATGTTGTGATATGGAACTGAAAAAGATATTGAAAAATGCTAAAACCGCTGTCGCACACACAGGGGGATCCAAACCCCTCTCCTTTCCCATCCTCTTGCCCGGCCTTATCCAACACATTGCTCATGAATTTGTGATTAGAAGCTACAACGTTAATATTTATACTGCCTCTTCAACTTTCTACAGGCTTTTGACAAAAACAAGGGAAAAAAACTTTGTACAAGCTTATTTTAATGTTATTTATTATATTATTATGGAGGTGTATTATCTATTATCTATCTATATATAAAGCAAAAGGGTAAAGAAGGTGTAGTAAATTATTATATATAAAAATACCCAATCCTAGACATGTATTTATAAAAATACCCAAGCACTATTTAAACATAGAAACATACCCAAAATAGGTTTTGGGTATGTGTGTAATGATGGGTTTTGGGTATGTTTATAAATGGGTTTTGAGTGTGTGTAATGATGAGTTTTTGGTATGTTTATAAAGTGTTTTGGGTGTTGGGTATTTTTATAATTTCAGCCCCCATTTTGGGTATTTTAGTGAAACTACTATGCAATGCATTCCCTTCCAATTTTTTGTGATAAAATAGTAGATAATTGACTAAATAAACATCCTCTAAAATTTCAATAAAAATTTCCAAGTTTTTCTCATAATTTCCATAGTTTTTATTCAATTTTTACAGATATCGATATTTTCTCTATATTTCCATCGATATATCCGTGTTTTTGGACCACCGATATTTCTAAAACCCTCGATATTTTAGACCTTGGTTTTGATCACTTGTTCTTGTCTTTAAGTTACTAAAGCAAGCACAATCACCGAGACTGAGAGAGAATAATTTCTTTGTATAATTGCTTTGTGGGTTTTGTTTGTATTGTTGAATGGTATCAACTAATGATGAAGTGAATTGGGTTGTATTCACCATTGTCCCTGTATTTAAGTTACTAAGTCAAGCACAAGCACTGAGAGAGAAAATGATACATATAATTGCTTTTTGGGTTTCGTCTAGATTGTTTAATTGATTGAGGGAGGACCAATCGATGAAAAATATTGGGAGGAGGAGGGGGTTGACGGGGAGAGAGAGAGGGAGAGAGAGATAGAGACATATAATATTTGACTCCAATTACTTTGAAAAACCACCAGAATTGAACATATAGGCTGCTTCATGACGGGCTTTGCCATGCTTTTCAATGAAATGGGAGTAAAAAGAGCGGATACTTGATTTGGGTACTGACATGCCCCTAGAGTTATTCAAATGCATCTATTTGGGCTAAGTGATTAGTTTTACAAGATACTTCATATTGGTAACATATGTTATCAATATGACTCATGCTCCCATACACAAATATGCGCCTAGCACAAGCTTCTCCACTCCAAAATGAAATTCTGAATGTCTTCATTGGCTTAGAAGCCCTGAACGCACACCTACATATGTATGTGTTTCTTCCTCGTGTGTATAGACAAAGTCCACAAATTTTTTTGTCAAAGTATGAAATGCATGATCAGTTAGGATATTAAATATTTTGATGATAAATGATTCAAGGCATGAGGGCGCTTACCATACGCTCCATTTGTTAAAAGACATGAAAACAAATGGAGACTTCAATATTCAAACATAACCTTTGAGCCCCACATGCCAAAGCACAGCAGCAAGGGAATTCCAATCCAAAACATAGACATAGACATCAATCCTTCACAATTGCCAACCGTGTTACATGCATATGCATCAGTTTTCATATCTTTGGACTGAGTATGCAAAATAAAAAGTACAATATTAATAATATATATCTAGCCTCTAAGCCTTTTTTTCATCATGTTGATGTGCACATAGACCCTATCTTGTAGATTGTCTATGAATCGAAAATATGTGTATCTCCATGTCTTGTTAATAATTAAAGAACCACATATTCCCCAAAATCCCACTATGAACCCCAACGCAGTGAAAATATAAAACCATGGAAGTTGATGAAGCCCATTGTGCACGTCTTTGTTGTTCTTTTTATCTGCATCAATGCCCTTATTTGGTCCACACTTATTTGGAAGTGGGACACCACAAAGTTTTGGATTCCCCACAAAGGCAGAAGCGTTGAAGCTTTGGAGCTGGGTGCTTGTTGGTATTGGTCCTTCGAGGTTATTGTATGAGGCATTAAAATATTTCAAGAAATGAAGGCTTGCCAATGACGATGGGATTATTCCAGACAAGTGATTATTGGAGAGGTCCAAAACCTCTAACTTTTTTAAGTTAGATATTTGGTCTGGAATGACGCCTGAGAAGTTGTTGGAGTAAAGAGTCAACTCGTAGAGAAGCTGCAATTGGCCGATCTCAGTAGGTATATGACCACTCATGTTATTGTTAAATAAGTCTATTATTGCTGGAAAAGAAGACAATTTATGAAAAAGTTGATTTCCAGTATTTATGTTGCTGAAGACTGGCAATTCAAGTTCATATTGGTCTTCTGCTTCATAAATCAACCTTGGTAGTCTACAAAGTTGCTTTGGAAATTCACCTGAAATTTGGTTGTCTGACAAGTCTATATAAAACAGTCTAGGAAGAGTCCCCAACCAACTTGGAATTGGCCTTGTGATTTGATTACTACCCATGTCTATATAAAACAGTCTAGGAAGAGTCCCCAACCAACTTGGAATTGGCCCTGTGATTTGATTATCACCCAGCATCAATACCTCTATATTCTTGAGCTTTGATAACCATACAGGTATTCGACCAGTGAGGTCAGAACCAGCCAAACTTAAAATTCGAAGATTTTGGAATCCGTCAAAATCAACCATGTCATCATCAAATGGCATTCCCTCACCTTTAAAGGCAGCAGAAAGAATGAGTGCGTGAAGACTTTTGCAACTCATCAATATCTTCATTGCTCTTGTGAGGTTGGTGAATTGGTTGAAACCAATTGAGAGGAAGGACAAGGATTTCAATGAAAGAATTTCAACTTGTATTTGTCCCTCTAGATGATTTCTACTCAATCCAATGGCTTTTAAGGACCGACATGAGTAAAGACTTATTGGAACCGTACCAGTGAAGTTATTGTTCCTTAGATCCAGTTTAGTAAGTTGACTAAGTTTGGAGAAATCAAGCATGGAGATATCTCCTTCCAAGTTGTTGGATCTCAAATGCAGTTCTACAAGGTTTGTGCAATTCATCAAAGATGGGGGCAAAGCACCTTCTAAATTGTTGAAGTCAAAGGTCACAAACTTCAACTTGGAGAGCTTCCCCAAATTGAGAGGAAGCTCGCCGCCAAAATGATTAAAGTAGAGGTCAAGGATGGCAAGGTTTGTGAGGTTGACAATTTTATCACTAATGGCTCCATGTAGTGAATTGAGAGGTAATGTAATTTCTTCAAGTTTGGTAGCATTATAGATATCTTCTGGAAGTAATCCTGAGAGGTTATTGTGACTCGCACGAAAAACCTGCAGTTTGGAACACTTCCCTAGCCCAAGAGCAAGGTTGCCACTGAATACATTGGAAGAAAAATCCAATAGCCTAAGGGAGGGAGAAGAATGGAGACAAATAGAGGACGGAACATACCCGGTGAAGGCATTGTTGCTGACATTGAAACTTGTCAAGTTGCTAGCCTGTTGGAAGATAGAAGATGGAATTGCACCAAAGAAGTGATTGCAGGACAAATCGACTGTCCGGATATTGCTGGATGGTAGAGAAAGTGGTAGCTCTCCAGAAAGACGGTTATAGCTCAAATCAAGGATCTCAAGTCGATTCAAAGACAAGAAGAACTGAGTTTCAAGTGAACCATATAGTGAATTGTGGGAAAGGTTCAAGTGGGTGAGATGTGTGAGATTTCCAAGTAAAGAGGGAGAGATACCTCCTTTAAGCCCTATGGAAGGCAACAGCAAACGGGTGACACAACCATCTGGATCACAAGTGACGCCCTTCCAGCGACAGCAATCAATGGATGTCCAATTTAAAGGAGGAGAAGAGAGAGTGGAGGCAAAGGACAGGAGGGAGTCGCGTTCAATTTGTTTGCAGGCATGAATATTTGTAGATATAATGTAAGTGAATAAGAGGAAGAGAAGGAAGGCATGAGCCATTAGGTTATAAGCTTGCACTAGCATGTTGCTTTGTGTATGTGCCGTTGCTCACATGTATTTACATATATAAGAGCAACGATCCTTGAAAAGTATGCAAACATCACTGCAAATTGAGAAGTCGGCAAACAACAACCACAATGCAAATTGTGTGGTTGAGGAGATATTCCCATTAATGCCGCCAGGAGTGGACTTGACCTACTTAATTTAAAGTCCACAAGGCCTTCAAAGTACTCAAAGTAAGAAATTGGCAAACAACCATAACCATACAATAAAAATTCTTCAAACCCCTTCTATACATTGAAGAGAGATTTCAACTAATGTAGCCAAAATTGTAAACCACATTAGGTCTACTGGGGGCCACTAATGCAACCAGGAGTGGACTTGACCTACTTAATTTAAAGTCCACAAGGCCTTCAAAGTACTCAAAGTAAGAAATTGGCAAACAACCATAACCATACAATACAAATTCTTCAAACCCCTTCTATACGTTGAAGAGAGATTTGAACTAATGTAGCCAAAATTTTAAACCACATTAGGTCCAGAGAGAGTCACGATGAGAGGACCAGACCTTCTAGTAGTTACTATCAACTAATGTAGCAAAATTGTAGACCACATTAGGTCTAAAGAGGGCCAAGATGAGCGTCTAAGTTGTTTTCGTGTTGATAATTTTCTAGTAATACATGGATTCGATCAATGCCAGTCCTCGAACCTAAGACCTGCCAACAAATCTAGGGAAGCGGCATGTGTTGATCATTTTTCTTGGAAACTTGGAAGATATATGGTGTTATTTAATACGGCATGCATGCCAGACATGGCTTGAGAGTTCTAGTGCGCTGGTCAAGCCTTATCTTAATTAACATTACATACATTGACATCCTATTCATGTTACACTGCAGGAGAAGCAGAAACTTCGTAGCAAATCTCATTCTTCGCTCTTCATTCACAAGTCACTACCATCTGTCAACTACATGACCAAAACAGATGAACTTTAGAAAAATGGTACATCAAGCAAAAGACGAAAGGCATAAAAGATGACACGCTCGGAGTAAATTCATGGATATATTAAACCCCACAAAATTGTATTTAAGTCTAGCCGACTCAATTGTGTTGGAATTGGCTTAAATTTGATGGCATGTGATGTGTTCTGTTATGGCCACCTACCTAGACTTTGTTGGCTTCACAAGTACTTTCGGTGGTTTTGTTTTTTTGATTGAGAAAACTTTATGCATGTGAGGAAGACTTTGGGGAAGCAAAGACAAAGTGGGAAAAGCAAGTTTGACTTTGGGGAATGGTGTGTTAGGTTAACATATCAATGTCACATTAATGTCTAACTAGTAAGGCATTGAAATAGCATTGGTTCCTTTTGTCGCGTGGCGGGGTTGGGTATTCGAAACTAAGGACTCGACATAACTTGTCTGCTAGCTCATACAATAATCCAAAGTGCATTTTTTACCCAGCATTCACAATTGGTAAAAGGCAACCCCATACAACCCTCTGAGTGACGAACACATAAGAATCCCAATATGACCTAACTGTACATTAAGACAAGATTTAATATCCCAAAATGTTTAGACTAATACGGTAAAAAAAAAATTTGTTTAAGCAAACTACAGATTTGCTAAAACTATGGGGCTTGTTTCATCAAATAACCTGGATTTGCATCTTTCATTAATGAAATTTTTTTCATGTAGTGAGTAATAGCTCTGGTTGTACGCTGTTCAAGAATTCTTGTTTAGGCAATTCATACTATCCATACATAATGTTTTGATCTAAGAGCATTCTTTGGAACCTTGCCAAGTAAAATTTGAGAGATAAGAAGAGTGCATTATCCTCCAGTCAAACTAAATTCCTTTCACCTCTCGAGATACCAGGTTCGGACCAAAAACAGGTCGTGATCTTTCTCAGTTCTCAACTTCTCGCACAGAAAAATATGAAGAAGAGAAGATAAGAGAAATGAGTGGAGAAGAATTAGCGGGCCCCCAGCCCCAAAGCTCCTCCGTTTGCTTTATATTGTTGGCGCTGGCTGTAAGTCGTGAATTTTCATTTCAATTTTAAGTCTTTGGTTTTTGAGAGAGAGAGAGAGAGTCTTCTTCTTCTTCTTCTTCTTCTTTTTTAAACATTTGGCTGATTTTAAATTCTGGGTAGTTATTTGCATTTGTTTTTTTTTTTTTTTTGGTCTGAACCACGAGGTGGTTCTGGATGAACCCCAACTATGGGTGGCACCTTTAAGCCTTAACCACAACCCAGACTAATCCCCGTTCACACCGGGTCGGCCCGTAAGGGGTAAAGTGCTAGCCAAAGTGGTGACTCCGTACAAGCATTTGTTTTCTTTCAGGGCTTCATGGAAGAGGTCCATCCGACGACAATGCAGTCAAAAATTTGTCAGGTGAATCTGGCGTGACCAGAAATTATATCATCCGCTTTCAAGCACAGGAAATATCTAATTTGGCTTGCCAATATCCATGTTATAGGATGTGTCATGACAACTTTATGAACCGAACAGCACATGTCCTTTAAATTTGAGTCCAGTTACTTTGGAGACCAATTTTCCTATTACCAAATCCCATGTGCCTCCATGTTTCCTCCTTATATTTTTGACACGTGTTCCATGACTTAACAGAAACTTAACACTGTTTCTTTCAACATAATAAAATTTATTTTAAAAAAAGAACCCCATTTCCTCGCCTCATCTATTTCGTTCAGCAAAAAGGGAGCCTTGTTCTTTCTCCTCCGAACCCCAAGTTCATCAGATCCGCCGTGGGTTTGTTTATGCCTCCATAGGATGACGGGACACCCAATTTATATCTAATCTCCACCACCACGCCCATTCATCATACCCACCACCTCACCGTGTCCATTTGCTTCAAGAAACCCTCAAACCCACATAGAGAAAGTACTTCCATATTAAGGATTTGGCCCAAGGAAACATCACTCGAGCACTGCAATGACCAAGAATTGATCAATAAGAAAAACCCACAAAGGAAAGCTTGGAAATTTCATATGGGGTTCAGCGATATTAAAGACCACACCAAAATCCACATACAAACTAGCACTTGTTGGGTTATTGTTTGTCGCTCATGGTGAATATCTTGAATGGATGCAATATTGGCCAAGCTTGAGAGAATTTTGGCTTTGAATAATTGAGTTTTTTTTAATCAATATAACAACTTTTTCTTTAGATTTGGCCACAACTTTGAGAATCAAATGGAAATTAGATAAGAAAAGTACTAAAGCAAGGAACGAGAATGAGATGCACAAAAGATAAGGTGAATGGTTGTGGTACTGGAGATGGACGACATGATTTGGGCTGACATGGAGGTGGCGGTGGTGAACGAAAGAGATGACGAGGAGGAACTTGTATGTTTTTCAATATTATTGTGTTGAAATATTGTTAACAGTGTTAAATTTATGTTTAGTCATAAGACACGTGTCGAAAGATATATGGAGGAAACATGGAGGCACAAGGGATTTGGTAATAGGAAAATTGGACTCGTTACTTTGAAATGAAGAAGAAGAAGAGGAAGAAGAAAAAGGATAAAGCAAACTGAAAATGCAAAATAAAAAGTACAATATTAATAATATATATCTAGCATTTAAGCCTTCTTTTCATCATGTTGAAAGGGACTGTTATCATCACATAGAGGAGCATATCTTGTAGATTGTCTATGAATCGAAAATACGCATATCTCTATGTCTTGTTAATAATTAAAGAACCACAAACTCCCCAAAATCCTACTATGAACCCCAATGCTACAAAGATATAAAACCACGGAAGTTGATGAAGTCCATTGTTCACGTCTTTGTTGTTCTTGTTATCTGCATCAACTCCCTTACTTGGTCCGCACTTATTTGGAAGTGGGGCACCACAAAGTTTTGAATTCCCCTCAAAGGCAAAAGCATTGAAACTTTGGAGTTGCCTGTTGGTATTGGTCCTTCAAGATTATTGTAAGAGGCATTAAATTCTTTCAAGAAATTAAGGCTCACTAATGATGATGGGATTATTCCAAACAAATGATTCATGGAGAGGTCCAAAACCTCTAAATTTTTTAGGTTAGATATTTGGTCTGGAATGATGCCGGAGAAGTTGTTGGAGTCAAGAGCCAACTTGTAGAAAAGTTGCAATTAGCCGATCTCAGCAGGTATATAACCACAAATGTTATTGTTAGATAAGTTTATCGTTGCTGGATAAAAATACAATTTTTGCATGCAATAGAAAAGTTTGATTTGCAGTTATGCTGATGCTGCTGCTGAAAACAGGAAATTCATATTCATATTTGTCTCCTTGAGACACAATTGGTTCCAGGAAATTCAAATTCATATTTGTCTACTTGAGATGTCATTGGTTCATACAGAAACCTTGGTAGTCGAAAAAGTTGCTGTGGAAATTCACTTGAAATTTGGTTGTGTGACAAGCTTATATAAAACAGTCTAGGAAGAGTCCCCAACCAACTTGGAATTGGCCCTGTGATTTGATTAAAACCCAGAGCCAATATCTCTAGATTCTTGAGCTTTGATAACCATAAAGGTATTTGACCGGTGAGGTCAGAAAGAACCAAACCCAAGAGCCGAAGATTTTGGAATCCATCAAAATCAACCATGTCATCATCAGATGGCATTCCCTCACCCACAAAGGAACCACTAAGCAAGAGTGCGTGAAGACTTCTGCAACTCATCAATATCTTCATTGCCCCTGTAAGGTTGGTGAATTGGTTGTAACCAAGTGAGAGGAAAGACAAGGATTTCAATGAAATAATCTCAACTTGTATTTGACCCTTTAGATGATTCCAAGTCAACTGAATGGCTTTTAGGGACCTACATGAGTAAAGGCTTACTGGAACCGTACTAGTGAAGTTATTGATCCTTAGGTCAAGTTTAGTAAGTTGACTTAGTCCTGAGAAATCAAGCAAGGAGATATCTCCTCTCAAGTTGTTGTTTCCCAGACGCAGTTCTACAAGGTTTGTGCAATTCATCAAAGATGGGGGCAAATCACCTTCTAAATTGTTGAAATCAAAGGTCACAAACTTCAACTCGGAGAGCTTCCCCAAATTGAGATGAAGCTCACCGCCAAAATGATTAAAGGAGAGGTCAAGGATAGCAAGGTTGGTAAGGTTGACAATTTTATCACTAAATGGCCCCATGTAGTGAATTGAGAGTTAATGCAATTTCTTCAAATTTGGTAGCATTATAAATATCTTCTGGAAGTAATCCTGACAGGTTATTATGACTGGCACGAAAAACCTGCAGTTCAGAACACTTCCCTAACCCAGGAGCAAGGTCGCCATTAAATACATTGGAAGAAAAATCCAATAGCCTAAGGAAGGGAGAAGAATGTTGGAGACAAATAGAGGATGGGATATACCTTGTGAAGCTATTGTTGCTGACATTGAAACTAGTTTAGTTGCTTGCTTGTTGGAAGAATGAAGATGGAATTGCACCAAAGGAGTGATTGTTGGACAAATCAATTGTCCGAATATTGCTGGATGGTAGAGAAATTGGTAGCTCTCCAGAAAGACGGTTGTTGAGTTCCAAAAATTCCAAGGCTTGGCCCAAATATATTTCTAGCCCAATAAGACACCCAACTTGGGAAAAACCCAACTTGGGTACGCAAGAGTTCGTTATATGCGCTTGCACATGTGCCACGCCAAGCAAATAAGCAACATGCCACGCTACAAGCTTAAGTGGGCCCAAGCCACACGAATGCCTGGGGCTTGCTGAGCTGGTTGTGGTATTGATGGTTACGAGTATTCACGAGGCCCATTGATGGTCCAAGTAGTGGAAGTTTTGGGCTACTTGGGAGCACCAAAACTCAAGCCCATTCCTTAAGCCCAAACATATGGGTAAGCATGAGAGAGAAAACCCAATAGCTTAGGAAAATATCCAATGGCCTGCAAACACTTGGAAAAGTCTCACATCAGCCAAAATATCCAGCACCTTGATCAAATAAGCTGTTGGAAACTCACAGGTCGCTGGAAACAAAATACCAATAGCCCAGCCCAGCATCGTGGAAAATATCCAGCATCTTTGTTAAAACCAGATCAAAGCCAACCCATCAAAACCAAGCAAACCCATGTGCTGATGGAAGTAAATCACCTTTTGACCAGCACCCTTACCCATTCTTTCCTCTTCAAGCTTTGGTGAGAAAACAAGAAGGAAAAGTGGGTGGCGCCTCACCCACATGGAGAAGTCCTGCTGCCTAAGGACCTTGGAACCCCAAAAAACTGCGTGCCTATGGATTCAGGTTGGGGAAGTTTCACCAAACAAGATTAAATGGAAGAAAGTGAAGAAAAGGGGGAGGGAGGCTTGAGATAGCAAGCATCACCTCTCATCTCTGGAACCCTTCGATTTCAAGCCATGTTCTTCCATTGCTTCCATTTTTCTCTTCTGTCAAGCCACCCAGTAGCCTAACAAAGCTTTCGTCAAGTTGCTGGAAATTTGCTAAAGTCACCTATGCTTCCATCTTCTTCCTTTCTTTCCCATAACCCACATTCAGAGAGCAAGCATCATCTCTCATATCTAAAACCTAGCAATTTCGAGCCATATTCCTCCATATCCTCCCATTTTCTCTTCTGACAAGCTATTCCAAAGCTTGATAGAGCTTTTGTCAAGCTGCCGGAAAATTACCCAAGCCACCCATTCTTCTTCCCTCATATCTCTCTCTCCCTCTCCTCAACAAACCCTCTTAAAATCCCTTCTCCCCACACTTTGAGCCTCGGTTTCTCATAGGAAACCCAAGCCTTCTCTCTCTCATGCTAAACTCATGAATGCTCAACTCCCATACCACAAGCTTCTCATGCCAAGCCATAATATTTATCTGCAAGCAATTGTCTTTTTGTTGGTGAAGATAATCAGGGTGCTTCCTAAGGCTCCGCTACCCTTTCGAAGCATTCTTGGGGTCTGATTCTTGAACTCAGACACAGTTGGTAATTTTACCCATTTGCTCCTTACGGCAGCCCAACCCATTTGAAGCTGTCGGAACGAAAAAGCCCCCACATAAATTGGCGACTTTGCTGGGGATCAGGCCGCCATCTTCACCAATATCTCCAAAGAAGAAGACCAGAAGCAATAAACCAGAAAAAATAGAAAGATAAGAACATGCCCTCTTTCCTTTTTTTTTTTTTTTTTTCTTTTGTTGGCTATCCACTCTACAGAACAAGCATAATATGGTTTACTGACATGCGCCCTTTGTTCGTGTCTTAGATCTCCATTCCCAAGCGAAACAAGACCTTGTAAGAGGGTCGGGGGCTTTGGTGAATCCATCGTTCATGCCATTGAGCAAATTACACATGCAAACCCCAAAATACTTGGGGGCTTCGTGCCAAGCAAATTTTTTCAAAAAAAGAGAGAGAAAAAGCCAAACACAGGCCAAGCATCTGATAAAGAGAATTGAACTTCTTTTTCAGTTTTCTGCCTGAGATGTTCCAGTAGTTGAAGAAACCAAAATATGCACTACTACAAAAAGTGGAAAAGACGACCAGAAACAGACGACGGTAGAAGAAAAAACCATCGTTGTATTTAAAAAGACGACGGTAACAAAAAACCGTCGTGGATAAGTGACTTAAACAACTAAATAACGGAGGTACTGTTGAATATTTTTTTATAACGACACACACAAATAAAAAAGCGTCGTCTTATTAAAAAGGTTTTCTTCAGAGTTAAAATCTGACCAAAAAACAACGACAGCAGGTATGACAAGCGTCGTCTTTTAAAAATCAAGTGTCCTTTTTTTGGTAAAGACATGGTTGTTTTGAAAGAACTGTCGTCTATTATATGTAAAGA